ATACATGCCTTAAGCAATATACTAAACTTTTTATTAACCTCAATTGCTTTGTTTTTACCGAGAAATACCGGACCTCAATCTTTTTGTGCAAACCTCGCTCTACGAGCTCGGTCTGTTCGAAAAGTCCTCGGTCCGATATTCCTCAGTAAAGACCTCGCACTCGGTTGATAAGAAGTTATTAACCGAGTGGTATTTACCGAGTGCCGAGTGCCTATTATGGAAGTGGTGTAATTATGAAAAGTGAAAGCACGAAATGGACCTTTTTTAGAAGGCTAGTATGTATGGTGAGAATGTCTTCCCCATAAAACGCGTAAGCTAATGGTTTCGGAGTAATATTTCATACATTTTGACAGCAAAAACACTATAGCCAGGAAAAGAAGCAATCCGGGCCGTACAGAGAATTGTATATGTAGGCGCGTAACGAGAACGATAATTCAGACGGGGGGGGGGGGGATATTCAGATATTCATATATGTGAACACGACTGCCAAGCATGTTCGACTTGGCGCTATTTTAAGAATCCAGTATGGAATCGCCTCTAAGTGTATTCCTAGCATATGCCGTGATATTACTGATATTAGGTTCATTGAAGCTCACGTTTCTGCTCGTTGCGGGCGGGTATCTGCAAATGTTCATACCCGATCTGGTTCGTAAAGCCTTTCACTTTATGCACATTGCATTTAAGAAGCTGAAAAAGACGTGTAAATCTGTTCCTCGACGTGATGAAATTCACCAATTTCGTAGAGTGATTTTTTGATCGCCATTATTTTCTTTTAGCTGTGGCTATAATTATACAATACACAATAACTCAATTTTCTAAGCCCGCGGGTGCACAAACATGCACCATCGAGTAAAATCTATTGCATGGCATGCTCATTAATTTTGCACCAGCGTTGTTTAAGGTTGTGCTTTTGACTGCATGCATGGTGGATTTCAATCAAAAAGCTTTCTCAAGACGTGTTTTGTACCTATTTTTTACGTCTGGATATAAGTCTGGACGATAAAAAGTTTTCTTTGCTATGCATTATTGTGCAGAATTTATGTGCCTTTAGAAGTTATGTAAAATTCCCAGGAGCTGAAAGGCTTTTGTGCTTGTGACAAAGATATGTAATACATGCACAAAGCTGACAATACTCTACACATCCAAGAACTGAGGGGCTGTTTACATGAGCCCGGTTGAGCGAGATTCAACGAAGCATGAGATGATTTTGAGGTATTGAAATGAGCAGATAACATGATCCTGGCAGTCGTATAATCACCACAATAATAGCATGTGCTTGTTTGGTGTCATAAAGACTTATTTCAATACCTTAAAGTCCTTTCACGCTTTATTGAATCTCGGGTAACCGGGCTCATGTAAGCAGCCCTTTAGCGTAGTGACGGGGCATTTAAATTATGATAAGGCAAGCAAACAAAGGCTTGATTCAATAGAGTGTTTTTTTGTGACACCCTGTACAGGGTGTCCCAAAAAAGTCCCCGCTATTGAAATGAAGCTTTTGTTGGAATTTGAATGCATGATCAACGCAGTAGTGTGTAAATAGCATAGTTATTAGGTTGAGGCATTCAAATAAAGCGTCTGGCTTTCAATTGGGTTTATCATAATATTAAGGCAATCAGATTCGAACAAAGGCTTGATTTCAATAGAGGGGACATTTTTTTGGGACACCCTGTATACAGGGTGTCTCAAAAAAACGAAAACAATTGAAATCACTCATTGTTAAAATTTGAATGCCGTGCTCACGAATTCAACCCGTGGGGATTTAATGCAACTTATAAAATGCTAAATGCTTTGTGTTACTAGAGAAAGGGGACATTTCGCAGTTCATGGTCCTTGAGATGCACACTTAAATATTGTCATCCATATTTTTTAAATTGTAAATTTTGTTAATAAATATTATTTTTGTTTACAAGCAAATTTTACTGCATCATATACATGTATAAAAATGCGTATGGCAAACATTTATACACCTGTGAGTCCCAACAAAGTGTTTAGGCATTCAGACTCTAACAATTGCATTGTTATGGGTGATTTCAATAATTTTCGTTTTTTTTGAGACACCCTGTAGATCAATTCAGCCTCATAAGCAAATTACCCATAAATTACACACAATTTGAATAGCGTTATGACATTTTAGCAAATAATTTGAAATCATAATTATTGTTATCAGAACCAGAAATTAACCATGCACCCGCTTATCGATGCTAGCGACGCCACTTTGTTGAAATACTTATACAGGGTGTACAAAAAAAAGGACCTTCAGAAATTAAACTATTGATATCATGATAAACCCAATTGAAAGCAAGACGCCTTATTTAAATGCCTCAACGTAATAACTACCCTATTCACACACCACTGCGTTGTTCATGCATTCAAAATGCAACAAAAGCTTCATTTCCACGGGGGGGGTGTGCTTTTTTGGGACACCCTGTGGTTTTGCAATGTTTTCAAATTTGACGTCATTACAAAGTCCCATCTTAACGGGGGGGGAGGGGGGGGGAGGGGTTGCAACACCAAAGTTTTGCCGACGAACACGTGGCACTTGAAGCACGTTTAAAGAAAGCTCATAAGCAGAGAGAAACCGAATGTCTTTACAAAATTTAATGCATTTCGATCAGAATTTGTTGCTGAAATGCTTCAAATCTTATATGGCTTTGTCTACGTAATAAAACTTTTTAAATTTTATCACTTTAAACGTTCACGATGTATCAACAGACGAGTGAGGCGACTTCTCAAATTATCGCAAGCAGCTAAGCAAGTTAAGCAAAATTATACTTTATACCGACGATGATATTATTACCAAGCGACATCGTAATTTTTTATAATTAACACCAGGCTAATACGAATAAAAAGATCACAGTATAAACAGGAAACTTCTAGTGTTCAACGAAATGAAAGAAAGACTGTGCTACTCAGCCACAATATCGAAACAATTCTCCGCGCCGGAAAATACAGGAGAACAGTGGCGTATGGGAGACGACAATTGGGGAGGCACATATTCATATAATTATTCATGTTGTGCAAGATTAATTACTCGTTGTACAAGATTAGTTAAAAATTCGCCAGGTTTTTTTTTTCATCGTCGCAAGTGTGTTTTGGCGCGAAATGTACTAGAATTTGAAAAGTGTATGTAACCGTATTTATCTACGTCACAGTTTTGTGTCCCAAGAGTTGTGGTGCACAGCTCAAAATCTTTGGCTAATCGTCGGATGCGGGATTTGATTTCGCTCGCATGATACGGCAATTCGTCCAAGAGGCAGAAATAAACCGTTCTTTTATTGTTGTTCGATTAAGTTTAGGTTTAATTGAGGTAAGAATATGTTTAATACATATAGATTCTAGTCCTATTTTAATAATATCACAGCTATTTCGCCGTTTTACAAGATGTGGTCGTGTACTGGCGCGCGTTAACACGTCGCAGTTTGCACAGGATTGAAGATTAATTATTTTAATATAAGCGCGAATATACAAAAGTGTAAGACAAAGTGAACGTATCATGCTGTTCATTTACATTTTGAAACAATTGAACTTCTATACTTTTTAAAGTTCGACGCGCTTCTGAATGTAGTGATCGAACAACATCTAGATTTTAGTTTCGCAAGGCATCTAAATGAGTAAGAACATTGTTTATGTACGTTCAGAAGCTTCAAGCTTCATATTGAAGACTGCCACGTGCGCGGCACGCCGCGCCGGAATTAACGCCAGAACAGGCGAATAGTTTCTTTTCAAACCCATTGTGTTTACAGGTCTGTTAACATGAATATATGAATATGTGCCCCCCCCAATGATCGTCTCCAGTACGCAACTGCCGGAAAAGCTCCAGACACTGGCGGATATAACGAGGAGATAATATGTTTCATCTTTTGCGGGAGAAGAGTCTAGTTGGCGCCTTGAGTAGAGCCACTTCATGCAAAGACAAGGACTAAAGGTGGTAACAATATCCCAATTCAGATGTTCAGTTGACACGTTTCATGGTATATTAGATTATGCATGTGTATCTCTAAACTGTTGATGCAGATTGGATAATTGTCAATAGTATAGGTCACATAGAAATTCACTTCAGACAAAATTGGTATTTTTTCACTTCATTTTAGGCGTATTAATTTAAACAATTAAAGCGTAGATAGTTGTTGTTACGTAATATATATATGTATATACAGGGTGAGTAAAAAAAAAGTCCCCCCTATTGAAATGAAGCCTTTGTTGATTTGAATGCATGATCAACGCAATAGTGTGTAAATAGCATAGTTATTAGGTTGAGGCATTCAAATAAAGCGTCTTGCTTTCAATTGGGTTTATCATAATATTAAGGCAATCAGATTCTAACAAAGGCTTGATTTCAATAGAGGGGACTTTTTTCTGACTCACCCTGTATATTACGTAATATATATATTACGTAAACAGGATTATATTCAATAATTTAGGGATCCTAATATCTCCCCCTCTCCGCATCAGCATGGGCACTTCTTGGTGGCACTTTAATTAAAACATATCAATTCAAGAGTTTTGTACCTATTCCTAATAATATGAAAAAGCTAACGCGTTGTTAACGATTTTGAATTAACTGCTATATATATACCTTTTTCATATCTATCACAAAAAACTGAAATTTCCTAATCAGCAAGCCTTAATTATTGCATTGGTTGTATTGCATAAGTCAACCGATTTGCCAACCTGATTTTATCCATGAAATTACACATTATTTTTCTGAAAACAATATTATATATTGTCATATTATATTATATATATTATGTATATTATTATTGGAAAATTATACATTCTCTGTATAAGGTTTCCATGATAAAGAGGTTGTCACAATTTCGCCGGTTAAAATAAAAATGTCCATATGCTATTGCATTTAAATTTATGAGTTAGCTGGCGGGTTTATTATTACTTGATCTGTCAGAATCACCACTTTCATTTAACAAGACTGTCCTACCCACAATGCTAAATGGACCTCAGTTACATAAGTCGGGAGTGTACATGTTCGGAAGTTTACACGTATATAATTTACTATGTGATAAAAATACAAATGAGGTATATATATATTACATACATATCATATCAGCAGTGCTTCATGTCCTAAAATTACCCGTGCGTGTTTGTATTAGTATATTAACAAAGCGCAGCAACAAATATTGTATTATTTGAAATTAAAATTAATCATTCAGACCTCAAGAGGTTAACACTATTAATGAAAGCCTTCTTTATTTGAGGCTTCCAAAGGAAAGACTTCTCGAAAAAAACACAGATAAATTATGGCGTCTAAACTATGCTACAGATTTAACACGAATGTATGAAGATTATACAATATGTCAAAGTATGAGCATGAATTCGTGCCATTGCAAGTACGTATTCTATATTTTATAGCTCTGCAGCAATATATGAAGCGGTTAGCGACTAGTGATATGGAGAACGTACACACTTTATAGCTTTATTGTATAGATATATAATATCTTAATTATGTTTACCGTTACTATAATATAAAAAAATAACAAAATGGGTTTAATAAATCAATAAATTATGACCAAACCATGTTACGACGTTGGAATAAAACCCATTAAACTATCATGTAAACCCAGTATATACATGCATTATGTTATAGTATTCGTTCAAACAGAATGCAATTTGTTTATTATTAGTTCCTAGGGTTAATTGCCTAAGTTAGTTAATGACGAAATTAGTTAACTAACAAACCAGATTTCTGAGGAATAAAATGTTGGATAAATAGTTATTTAAACAAAGACAATAGTTGAGTAGATTTTTTCAATCCAAACCTTCAATTGAATGAGATATTAAAATTATTCATTTAACAAGGAAATCCATCTCATTTACATCATACTAGGAACAATTCCATGTTTCCCTCAGAAAGTTGTGAGGAATAAATAACATATAGAAAATCTTAATCATTTGTAAGGTTCTTGTATGATTTTGAAATTAGGTTGGGTATGATAAATTCGTACATCCCAATAATTAGAATATATATATTCCAATTGTACGAGAAATACATGCATGCAGCAAATGTTAAGTAAGTTTCAAAATCAATTCCAGTTAAACGAGATATTAAATTGCCAAAAGCACTTCTCAATTTATAGTTCAAGAGACGAAGTAACAAGAAAGCACAAGGCCACCCTATCCCAGCATGCATCGAGAGCAAGATACTATCCCAAGTGCTTGCGCGAATTTCAATATCAATGTTAAGGATTAACTGTGCATGCACTTTATATTATGTGATAGAGCAAGTATCAAAGTTTTGCGGCGTGATATTGGCAACATTTCCTATTATATTGATTTTGATATCTGTTACATATTTTTGTAACAAAAAATATGTACTAATTTGTTATGACTAAATATATTCACTTTCAAATAACCAATTTTGATGAGTTATTAGTAATCACTTCGTTTTTCTACTTATTAAAAATAGAGTATAAAAGTATATTGAAGTGAAATAAACCATTATTAGTCCAACCAAAACGATTGGTTTAAATAACTCGAAGTTGCTAATCACGGACCTATATATATATATATATATATATATATATATATATATATATATATATATATATATATATATATAATAAAATAAGAATAATAGAATAAAAGTTTCAGTTCACTTCAGTTCAGTTCAGTAACCTGGTCGATTGGTTAAAATGACGTATTGATAATAGTTGTAACTTTTTGAAATAGGTTATTTTAACCTGCCAGTTTTTGCAGCGTGCCTCCTATATTCAGCACTATCCTTTCATTGTTTCCGCGCACTTTCCAATAATCCTTCAAAATATGAAATTGCTATAAACGGTATAATATAGCTACGTATCTTGTATAAACCTCAATATCGAAAGATTTGTCAGAAAAACGAAGTCCTGCAGCTTCAGACCACGACGGCCATATCCGAAAGAATATTTTGGGAAAATCAACAGTTGTGAAAACCGACATTTTTTTAAAAACTTAGAAGAACATATTTTGTCCATTCGAAAACAAAAAAATAGGAAAGATTCGTATGTGATTATTTATTCAATTTAAAAATTAGGTTAAGTGCCAAAGATATTGGTAATATCAGGTCTTTTCTTTGACATATCGCTTTGCAATAAGCCGATGCAGACTATGTGTCTTTGCGTCTATACACATACCTCATGGGAAAGGATCATGTGTGTTTTTCACTGAGATGCAATACCGAGATCGATCTGTTATAAAGCTTTATAATAATATAAAAAATTATTTCTAACCACTCATCCAAGACAAGGAGGAAATCCCTTAGTGACGTTTTTTTATACATAAACGTTTCATGTGGCAGTGTAACCGTATTCTATATTTTTTTTCTTCCCGTAAAAGTTCCATTTGTTCGAATGCAAATTTTTCTCTGAATCTATAGAATAACATAATGAAACGTGTATTCATGAGAAGCTACCTGGTTTGCCTTTTTTTGCACTGCTCATAATAAGATGTACAATAAAATAGGGTACCTTTAGTATCGTTTGTATATATCGTTATTATACGCTCAATATATGTAAGATGCAACAAGGTGAAAAATCAAAATGCGAACTTAGCGCATTTAAATTAAGATTGAGAAACAAGCTCATCTGGTGAAAGCTTTACAACAATAACCTATAGGAAGGTGTTTAGTGTTGAGAATTACCCCTGTTAGAATTAAGAAACACCGCTAAATTTATTGCGCTTAAGCTGAATTGTTATAACTGCTTTATAATATGAAAATATAGGCAGTTTGATATAGGCAGGTAGGTTTAAGATTTTTAACTAAATGCCGCATGGCTTCCGCGAACGTTCAGCGAAGAATTAAACCATTGGCTGAAATCGTGGGTATGGAATATGCAGATTGCCTTAATTTGCAAAACTGTGAAAAAATCATTGGATTGCAGCACTGTATAAGTTGTATAGCGTATTCTTCCAATTTCGCCAGTTCGCCAAAATACTGCATGTTGCAATTAGCTTGGTTGTTTTTTATAAGTAAGGGAACATTAAAGTTTCTATAGTGTAATGTTTAATTTCTGCATTGTATAGGTTTATGTCATTTCTTCCCAACAAGCGTTTTACATGCATGCTTTCGACGTGATAAATAACTACAACTTTGCCTTAATGGAAATGGAGTAGAAATTACTGATAAAAACAATAAATTATATAACCGATAAAAGTAATAACTAATTATGCCTTTAACTTCTAGTCATGCGGTTCATTTACATTCTTTATATTGCAACATTTTGTCGCCAGAAGACATTCGCGCGCATTTTCTGCCACTGCTGTACTCAGTAGGCAGATTTTCCGAATTATCCGTACTGATGTCAATAGTAATTTTTTCATCTGTTTGCTCACTTGCCATCCTGAAAGTATAAAAAAATGATGCTCTAGCTTGCAATTTTTCATTGCCAACAACAATAGAGTTAACACGTTCAGTTTCACTGCTTGCAGGCATATATTTTCAGAACTAACAATGTTTCAGTAAATAAAGAGTCATTATTCGGCAACTTTCATCAAATATTGCTTTTTCAAAACCGAATGTGTATTAAATTTATGCTAAACAGTTAGCCTGTTAACGGATGTTTAACCCTCATATGAAGAACAAAAATCACAGGAAACGGAGAACTATATGCCCTGTAATTTAGCGTCAGTACCAAAACAATATGGATTATACGAAGTTCAAGAACGTTCTGATGTTCCAGAAAATAGCAGCCATAACGACAACAATATATTCATTCTTGCCGATAAATGAAAAGTCCAAACGGCGCTTTCATATAATAGATCGTGTCTGGAAATTCCTAAATGCTGTATGTACATGTGATAGCAATATTCAACAAAAGCACGGCTAAGATTTTAAGTTCAAACTAAGGCAGACTTAGACAATGCTTGCTACTAGTTTTGAGAGAATTGAAGACAATGAAACCTGAATCTCTAAAGTTGGTCGATGAAGCTTTAATTTTCGTGTACACAGCTGGATGCTTATTTACGCACTACTCGAATGGAAGTTGGCATGTCATTATAGATGAGAACTATTACTATTCTACTGTCCTTGAGTAAGCGGTTGAGATCTCAGCAAGAATTTATTAGCCATAGTAATTTTGAACGAGGGAAGTGGCGTTGACACCTAACATTGTTGGGCAATTTTTACAACATAAAAAATCAAAAGCAAATGCAAAATAATCTCAACTCTACCGTTGCTAGATTGAAATATTTTTAATTTACGTTTGTATTCACGTAAAAATGAGTACGGATAAAAATTAAATTTCTCAACAATGCTCAACAACGTCCAAAAGCTAATTACTTTTTCGGATTGATTAAAATTGCATCTGATGTCTTTAAATATATAAAGTTAAAACAATTATTGGATTCTACATTTGCATGAAATAACAGATGAAATGGACCTTGGTCTGAATTATTCCTGATATCATGCTCAGCCTCATCCAATAATAGCTCAATATTCACATGTCGGCATTATCAGGTTTCATTGCGCATGCGTGGTTTTCTTCTTCTTTAGTCGAAAGATTATCACCGCACCCACTTGAGGCAGATGTTCACTTGGCTTATGGCAAGCAACACGTCCAAATCGGAGCTGAGAATTGTCTCATCCAGGGCAACCTTCTCGATAATCCGTCTCAGCCCAGTAACTGAAGTTGCTATATGCAGTTATAACTTGAAGGTAATTCTTTGTTTTATTAAAAAATCGTTTAATTTTGATACGATCATATAATTTTTTTTAATCGTTTCACTGAATTCTGAAACTTTGTCAGAATTTTTTCTCACTGGCTGAAACACCTTTTATAAAGTTGAGGTCTTTTAAAATAAAGAAGTGGGCGGTAAAACCTTATTTAAAAGATCACACGATAGCCTGATGAGCCATACACTTGTTTTCAAAAGAAAATTAGAAACAGTAATCATGAATGCCAGGGTGCATGGTATACCAGCTGCACCCTCCGGTGAAGACAGAACTGCTCGTGCATGGACCGCCTTAAACGTTATGTGTGTTCGTGCAATGTCAGCAATGTTGCTGTGTAGTCTATTGGGCACTTATTGATAGTCAGTTTAACATAGAAAAACCGTTGTATTTGTTTTTGAAAGTAATATTGTATTTCAATTTTGTGAACTTTATTGCTTGAGAACTTTGTTGAATAATTTTTTTCCACTCTAATCCGGTAGAGTCTGCATTGCATCTCAACTCTATCGTAGCGTAACGCCGCCTAATATGATAATGGTACTTTAGCTACCCTATATCTGTACATACTTCGAGTGGTACTTCAAAGTACTCTAATCAGTACACCGCTAGTATGTTCATTGCTCAAAATTAACGTGTGTTGTCCAACAGCGAAGCTCGCAAACTATTTTATTAGTTGGAATTGGTCACATTGAATGGGGCAAACGTTTGATAATTATCTTCAACGACGGATGAAAGTTAGAATAATTATATGCTTGAATATTCGATAACTATGAGATAAAACATGCCAAAATTTAACTGTCTGCAAAATTGCAATACACAGAGAGAAACTATATGGGGCTTTGATAAAAAGCATGTAAAACAGGGAGTCTGTATAGTTGATGAATGCTTGGAAATTATTTTATGAACATGAATTTCGGAAACGCACAAGATTCCCAGAAGCAAAGCTCTTATTTTAGTGTAACAATTATTATGTAAAGCAATCATATCATAGCCTTTAGTCGGAACTTGGCATTTCTTAAAGTCAGGTAAGCGAGAGAACTCTGCATGCAGCACCTTATTTATATCAACCAATCACGACAGAATTTTTTTATTACAATTCGTCAGATCTCATTCAAAATTTATTACAACTTTACTGCTTTTGTAAAAGCTTTTTCTGTGCAAGGCGGAATCTTCATTCCAAAGTTTATAGCTAATAATTACACGCCGGTAACGTCCAGCGTTTTTTGTCGTCATTTTTTCCCTTTCTGTGTGTACATGCAGCCTGTGTTGCATTTCAACCGTATCGCGAAGAAACACCGCCTTTTGTAATGTTAAATATCAGGTTTCGCTTTGTCGGTACAGTTTCAAGAGGGGCATGCTTAAGAACATCATATAAAAAATGTATTTCCTTTTTTAAAATCGTGGTTTGATTTCACAGCTTGCATTTCCTTTAGAAAATTCAAGTACATGAATACTTGAATTTTGAGCATCTTTGAAAGCGCAAGTCGAAGTATGACTAAGCGTTCTAGTTTCTATATATCCATCACATAGAATGAATTATGCAGATGAGTATCTTGTGTTCAACCACAGTTAATAGAAGAAAGATGGTTAGGCTAGCTGGCAAAACGCCTCCGAAATTTATGTCGGGACACTTTTATTTTTGTCACGTGATCAATAAGCGGATGCCAGGAGTGAAATACAATATGGAGATATAGTGAAATTTGATACAATCCAATTCTCTGTTCGAAAATATCTATCATTTCACGCTGTGAAGGCCAGAAAAAGAAGAGGTATGTCCGATAGCGATCAAAAATCTGATTTTTGCGACATTCAGGACTTACCTAAGGATATCACGGAAGATTTGAAAATGTCAATCGAGGACTTCAATCTTATCATTCTTATGTATCGCTAGCGATCTTAGACACCGAAACGAACTCAAACGCGGAGTTTTTCAAAATTGAAACAGAAATTGAAGGCAGGAAATCGTTTCTTTACTCGCATTGCTCTAAAGTTTGTTAGTCGAAAGGTGGCCTAACAAAAAAATAAACACGCGAATTCCAAACACCGCGGAGCAGATGTTGTTGAGGCAATCTAATCGGAAGATGTCAGTTGTTCATTAGAAAATCTAGGAAAAATATTGATATTAAACACGTATTACGAAATTTACTAGTAGATATTATCTGCGAGTCAACGTTAAACTGTCCCGTCGTGAAATCACTGTGGGATAACATTGTGCTAGAATCTGGTATAGACGAATCTGGTTCTACACAGCAAAATCTATTTTATGCCTGGATTAAATACACACTATGTCATAAGTCATAGTTACAAGTTAATACAAATGCTACAGCATTAGAAGCAACTGTCCACTGTTACCTTTTCATACAATGTAAGAACAATAATAATTAATAAAATATTCACTTTTAATTTACTTCTATCAAATGTGGCAGGATTGGCAATGTTCAAATATTTGTAACCAATTCAATGTGTGGCAGTAATCAGTTTGATAGTTAACCAAAGCAGTTATTAGTTTGAAACAACATTCAAATAACATGGATATATGGACTCGATCATTGTGTCTTTATAGATAAGACTGTTTAAGCAGTGGAAATTTGCATACGGCTTTCATGACTTAATCTGATAATTAATCAAGCCACTTAACTTTGACTTTGTGCACAATACTGTGAGTATGCCCAGATAGTCTGAGCTTCTGTGACCTTGGCTTTTCATTCCCTATTACTATCATGGTACCAAAGAAACCGAGAAAAAAATAAAGTGGAGTCTATGAGAAAGAAATTGGTTATGCACACATGCAGTATTATGCTTTTCTTCTATAAGGCTTTTCCTCGGCAAGTTTTCTGTCGGGACGCTTCCTGTGACTAATATTTTCCTTTTCCCTAAAATGTAAATTAATTTATACAGTAAGCAATCTAATATTCGCGAACTATGATACGTTCTTCGTGCTAAATATTATCATGAAAACAGCTGTCCCTAAAGTATTTTACCACGAAAGTATACGCGACAAATATTTACCAGCTACGATACATTCTGGCTTGAAACGCAGCTCACAAACAAAGGCATTGTTTCCCTCAATTCTCTGTTTTAAACAGCGGAAGGGATTTTAAACAGCGAAAGCTTGTGCTTTCCGCTAGTCGCGCAGCAATTACCGCCACCGATACATTTAGGAACTTCTCTAATCACAAAAGTTTCAACCAGTGAGATACAAAGTAGAATGAATCACAAAATGCACTCGAATACCTGTGAATTCGCTCATAAATGTAATTTGAGCCTCAAGGGTCTATACCGCTTATTTGTCACATGCATGATCAAAATGAAATAGGACAATAACATATTTTGTCACGTGGTACGCTAGCCTAACCATCTCTCTTCTATTTACAAACTGTAGCTCAACATGCTGCATTCATGGGAACTAAGCATCTGCCAAATTGTCATGCATAGAAACAAACTAGCGTTGCTTCGATCCAAAACGTATAACAAAAGGATGCACCGACCTCGACGTCTATTTATGCAAACATAGGCAAATTATAATTAACCCAAGTTCGGAAATCACTGCTTGTCTTTTGATAATCGATAATACCAAAGCATTTTCAGAATAAGCGAATCAGAAGATAAATTTTTTTTTGAATATATTTCCTAATAAAAGTTTCCCATTATTAAGATGTTTATTCTTCCGAGCAAAGTTTTATTGTGAAACACCGATTTGATAGGTAGAATCATGAGACTTCAGTGATTTATTTTGATGAACGTGGATCGCCACTGCTAAGCGAGGCTTTTTCTCTATCACATCTTAAAATAGAACAAATCTCGTTGAAGTGAAATAATTTTGGCCTCATGGCCACAATCCTGTTCTACTTCACACCACGATTCTCCAATAGTGGTCTGGCAGTTGGATTGGTTTGTCCACCAATTAATAGTTATTTTGCTCAAGCAACATTTTGTTCGAATCGCACCACTTTTAGCCAATTCAATTGCAGTATTTGCCAAAGATTACAGAAGATATATATTTAACAATAGTATTTTCACTAAATTGAGTGCAATGATGTTCTACAGTGGCGTCGCCAGATTGACGAGTGGGGGTGGGAACATATTCATATTTCATTGAATGTATCAATAAATTGTTCATTTATTTTCGTCCAAATTTGTCGTTCAAATTTAGACGCTTTATTATTAATATTTGTTTGTAGCCTCTCTTCATCTTGTTTTCACTTTTTCATAAATTTTATTGGCTAATTGAGTTGCATTCAAACTGATTGGTTGTTGTTGACCAGTTAACTAAAAAATAACCCCATTTTCGTTGCATATACATGCATGTTCTCTCATACTTTTAAAGTGCCTATATCACTTGTGGGATCTTTACGGATTTGAATAGAGCTTGAAAAATTAGTTTATAAGTTCTACAACCTTTTTTGATATAATTAGATAGTTTTGAAAATACGTCGGTTGGGGGGCCTAGGACTCAGGAATGATTTGCAAACACGCCGTCTTTTATAATGTAAACATGAAGGGTTTCACTGGCGATATAGTTTGCGCTTTTGAAGAAAAAAATGCCGGAACGGTGCCTTGTGTATGGCTGCAGCAACTGGGCGAGTTTTTCTCAAAATATTTTACGTTATTGGAAGATTGAAGTAAAATTACAATTGATTATATTATGTTTGACAAGAACTTGGTTCCTGAGTCCCAGGCCCCGAGCACGACGGAAATTTAGGCAAATCGTCATGTTTAGATGTAAATATTTCCGAAACTATTTAACTATATTAAAAAGGGTTGTAGAACTTATAAACTAATTTTTCAAGCTCTATTTAAATCCGTAAAGATCCCACAAGTGATATAGGCACTTTAAGTAGCAATAGAATAAAGTCTTGAAATTTTCGACCTTAGGTAGTCTTTTTTAAAGCAATTTCGAGGGAGGATATCAATTTTGAGCATTATTTTAATGCAGCTGTAGAAAGTTAAACTTTTTGTGCAATATTTACGATATGAAATTGTCATCTGTAAAGTACCCTCCTCCCCGCTAAGTGGACAAAAAACACTACCAACTACGTGTAAATAATTTCTAAGCATGGGAATTGACCCTGTCGGACAAAAATTGCAATGCATTATTTGCTCGAAAATACACCGTTTTCACACCTTAACGCTCTCTTTAGTCCTTCTAAAACTGCTTTTCTGTTGCGCGATTCCCGCCTTAATCAGGGATTAATATTCAAATGAGAACGAAACCGGCTTCATTAAAGCACAGAATTTTAGAGAATTCATCCTTGGAGTTGTCGTTTCAGTTGTATTAGATTTCAATGTTGTTGACATAGACAGAGAGTGATTTCAACTGTATAACGTCAGCAATAGGAGGTTGATTTAGGTAAAAATTACTTGAAATTACAAGAAACATGGCCAGAGATCGAGAGATTGGATATGCAGATTGGCGTTAAAAAATTTCATATTTGTTTAAATATCTTTCAATTGCTGCACTATAAATCATGCTGGACTATTAATCACTTTTCCCAATCTTAAAGTCTGCATACGCAATCCTAGAGTTAAAATTTGAATCAATCGTTGAATATTTACAATTTAGCTGGTTGTTTCTTGTAAATCAAAGAATATCGACGTTTCTGGTAACGTTTTGCTTGTTCAGGGTTTATATCAACTCCGCATTAGCTTATTTCTACAAACGGTTTGCATGGCATTGAATGTAATACATGTAAATGGCTAAAACTGTGGCTTGGAAATGTGGGAAGAATACTGGTCAAAAATTTCGAAAAACTACCAGAAAATATTTCGGATAATTTGTTTTGCAACTAGCAATCGAGGCAAATTATAACCGACCTGCCAATAGTTTTTCATTTTAGTACTTTGCATTGTACAGTTTACTTTAACTTCACGCGGATATAGGTTTACACCATATGCAAATAATTCAATATCGGCGGAAGTACAATGTTATTTTTTCCAAATTTTCTGGCCAGGTGCATTTCGGCGTTTTATCCGTTTCTCATCTGCAAATAAGAATATTAAACGCAGAACATGCATTCCAATGCATTTTATAATATTACATTTATAGTATGCGCGTGCTGATTGGTCGAGAATCGTGTTGCTCTAACCTTATACAAAAACGGGACTTTTCCCCAGAGCTTGACAAGCGAATTGATGTAATGAAAATCTAATTGCATTGAATTATAATATTTCTGCAAAATCTTTTTATTGAGTTATATTACAAAAGAGATAGAAATATTTTTTCCTGTGTTTCTATACAGTTATAGACTTATCGAAACACTTGTTGGAGTTTGGGAGAACTCGAAACAACGTGGAAAAATTCACCTAGTTTTTATAACTGTATTGAAACACGGAAAATGTTTTCCTAAATAAATTACTGCTAACCTGAACTCTTACTAGCCATGTAATTTTTCAATGTTTCCATTCCCTCATTCTTTACTTAACGTTCTTTATTAAAACCAATCCTTTGTGAAACTGTGACAGAGTATAAAATGTTCATATTATACTTTGACTACTTTGTCTTAGATTTTCACATTTGCAACATTGATGTTTGACGTTGCATTAATTTTGTATCTGTGAACCATTATTGAACTAAATTTATTCATTTATTCAGAGACAACTTTACAACTTATTCCCTGCGATAAATGACTCAATTGCTTTAGAGTACTCGGAAACTTACGCTTTGGTAAGTGGCTTTGGCTTATATTGTAAATTAATTAAACACTTATTCTACTTTATAATTATAAGTATCGTTTCTCTTTCTTTTCTGCAGTGCAATTAGATATGGAAATAACATATCTGAAAACATGGATATTCTTCGCAATGATTGTTCGCCAATTCATAGATGGGGCAGAAGAATACTTTATCGCACCGACAGCATGGTATTATATCAAATCTCTGGGACAAAATATGCTTTTTCTCGGACTTGTCATGTCTGCTTTCCAATTTAGTGCACTCCCGTCCAGCCCCATCCTCGGCGAATTGGCGGACAGAGTTGGATACAGTAGATGTATTATTATCGTCAGCCTGTTTTTGAAGTTTGTTGCATATATATTGTATGCAATTCCAGTCTCGGCATATTTTCCACTAATTGGGAGAATTTTGGGTGGGCTCACTGATGGTTCTATCGGGGTCGTCTATGGGCAAATAATATTGTACACACCACAGAAACATCGAACACAAGTGTTCTTAATATTGGATGGAGTGTTCACCGTGGGCACCCTCTTGGGCCCGGCAGTCAGCGTGTTTTTGATCTTTAATGTGAATATCTTTGGCTGGAAAATCGACGCTGGTAACTCACCTGGAATCGTTCTTGCACTTTTATGGTTGGGAATGTTTGTAGTCTCTCTGTGGTTTCCCAGTGAGTTTGGAACAACGAAGGTTACAGTTGATAATAGTGATCAAGACCAACATATGGTTGTTGATGGCAATGATAATGATGGTGGTGGTGGTGATGGGCATGATAATGATGGTGGTGGTGGTGACGGGCATAAACGCGTTGATTGTAGTGATGGTCAGGATCACAATGAAGATGATTGCATTCTTCCGGCTACAAAAGATGGGGTTAAATCACAAAAATATGGTTCTTACAGTACAATTTTTCTCATGTTTTACCTCGTTATATTATGTTTCTTCTACTCTAGTACTGTTACCTTTTACGTTCCCTTGCTTGCGCAAGAACACTTCCACCTACGATTCATTCATGTGAAAATGCTGTTCTTGGTAAGCTCTGTCTTTTGCATGGTTCTGTTCCTCGGGTATTATATTGCCGCAAAATATTACGATGAGGCGCAAATGTTACTTTTTTCAATGATGATGCAGGTAATTGCAATATGGCTGTTAACCTATATTGCTTTTAGTTGGAACAGTGGGTTAGGTGCATACGGTGGTTATGTTCTCCTCCCTTACATCTGTCTTGGAATGCCATTCTTCTCATTTTCTTTGTGTTGTTCAGTCTTGTCGTATATCACCGATCCAAATAAGGCTGCTTTTTATCAGTCTATGTCAATCGCTGCACTTCACTTAGGAAACTTGCTGGGCCGTCTAATTTCATCGTACATTTTCACCGTAACGGAGCTTTTGTGTTTTTGTTTCGGCCAGTTTGTATGCTGGATTGTTGGAGCTTTATGGTTTGCCCTGGAGTTTTCTAACATACGACGAACGGAGTTTTGATTTTGCCACGCTTCAGACTTTAGCTACATGTCTTATTATAATGTTGCATGCAGTTATTATGTTAAATTATCGATAAACAATGTTAAGAACAAACAATGGACCTTAATTTCTAACCTGAAGACTGAACTGCGAAGCAAAGACAAAAAACTGCGTTAACCATACCGTGCATGTTAACGTCATATAACTAAGTATTTTTTTCATTATTATTGTGTTATCTTTTCGATAGAGTATTTTTGCATGATGCACCTTGTATTTTGAGAAATCTTTATAGTCTTTTTTTGTTTATACATACAATTGAAGTATATATTTTTTTTTCGTACACCATGTGTCTAGCTATCTCCTTGTCGCTTACATTACTGTTATGTCAATAACGAAATGATTGTTATTTTTTTAAACGAACATGAACATTTTGATGAAAATCCGCTGTACAAACCACCGTTTTCCAAAGCATGCGCATCTCCCAACTTTAATCGTTGGAATTATAGAGCTATTAAAACGTGTCAATAACTGGCTGTAATTGATTGTATCAACGTATATATTCCTGAAACAAATTCTTGTAATTTTGTTGACATTGTACAATCCCTGTCATTTACCAATAGGAATTAGGTTTAGAGATTGGACTGTGAAAACCACATTCCCATTTCCACATTAATTTTTTATTGATGCAGTAAGCAACCCTGCATTTAAGGAACTCGTTGTTCAGCACCTTATACGATATAATAGCAGTGGCGCCGCCAGCAATTTTTATTAAGGGGGCAATTCTGAGGAATTTAGTTTTTACTCTGTAGCTTTAGTAAATTTGAAAATTGTTAACACTCTCTCCATTTCATTGAATTTGGAAAAATCTGAAAGCCTATACTTTAGAAATCATTAAGGACGCCACTGTATAGTATACGCGTCAAAATTTGACCGGGTTGCAAAATTTCTGCTTATTGAAACGTTGCAGCAGTGAGGTTGACAAGACAGCACAACACAGCGATTCTTATGATCGCTAATCTAAGAGGATAACTAGGAAACTGATCATTGAAATACTTGGCTCGAGTGAGTACAATCCTAGCTATAATCTTTCTTTCCAATCATGTATATCATATGCAGTAAGTTGCTCAAGCTAAGCTTAGAAATAATCATTTTAAGCTGGATTTCCGGCACTTACAGCGAAATGTTTTCATATTTTCTTTTGAATTGTGAACAGTCATAGTTGCGCTAATTTATTTACGCTGTCAAAATTCCGCCTTTAGAGATACATAAAAATCAAATATTTGCCTATGAAAGGATCAGTTCAAAAGTTTTGCTGTGAGGGAACCATTGGAAGATTTTTATAACTGCATAAACCTTTAAGGCTGTGAATTGTGAGGGATGCGGTCTAATTAGGCTTCATTTCTCTTTTAACCGCTGTTTACGCTGGTTTTGCTATTTTTCTTCCCGTCATGAAAGTTATTTTTTTATTTAATACATACTGATTAAATAAGAAATATCATCATCGTTGGGGGATGAGAATATCTTTTTATATGCGTTCAATGTAAAGACTTCAAGCCAATATTGAATTCTGTAATGCGAATGACAGTCGCCTGTGTTATAATTAGAAGACAGGTATCCGTTGCAGTATTAATTGTCGGTATTCCGGTTTCAATACTTCGGCAATCAAGTTGCAACTTGAGATTTGAGAGCATCTTAAATGAATCAATAAAAGATAGCCGCTCGATTGCTTCGTTAAGTACCTAGAATATTAAGAAATATCGGCTTTTAAGGTCGAAACATCGAGAAGTAACAGTTACTATTGCGTGTTTGGTACTTTTGATAGAAATGCCAACAATATAAATTATTATCTGTTGACATCGCTGCGATTTGAAAGCGATTTTCAGTCTATAATATGCCTGGTAACTGTATAATAAATAATATTAAACAAATTTTGTATCTCGGAAAATACCTGAAAATTTGCAAGTTCGTCAAGAGGCAAACATAGCTGGCATAATGCTTAGTATAAACATGCAATTGACCAGCTAGCTCAATGTCATTATACTGATATACCAGTAAATGTGTTGTAAAGCAGTATTGGAATGTATAATTATATAATGCTGCTATAATAATATTCAGGTCGTCGAGAAAATAACAGTCCCAAAATTCATGCAGTACAATCCCAATACGGCAGGAGAGAGATTGCAGTCGACCAAAAAGGTGGGAATTTTATCTGGGCTGGTCAAAAAATAGCTGGCCAAAAGCTTCTTTGATTTTCACGTTTCAAGTGGGTTTTTTCCTTTTTCAATGTAGCAAGTAAACGTCAAATAAATAAATTATTCTTTTCGCCACACTAGAAAATTTAGCATGATACAACACCGTAAAGGAAATGGGACAGGGAACAACTAAATTGGCAGGTTGAAATGGAGTTTCAGTCCAAAATTTTTATGTCAATTTGAATCCTTGCATCAGTTAGAAATTATCCTGATGAAAATTTGGAAAATTTTTTTGAAAAAACATTCTGTTCTAAAAAAATAAATTCCGCTTGAAAGGCCCGATTCTTTTTTTTTCGAAATCGTAAAACACGTCCTAGCCTTGATTAAAGCATGGCTTCCTTCATGCTTGGGTTTTCTTGATACATTACGGTTCGGGTAAAACATTTTGATGCGTTTTAAAGTGCGTATAATCGTTTTTGACATGCTGAAAAAAATAGTTCAGGAAAATTCAGGATGATAAAACACCATAAATGAAATAGGACAGTGAGCAACCATTATTGCCAGGATGAAAAGGAGTTTCAGTCCAAACTTTTTTTATGTCCCCATCTTATCTAATCGAATCGATTGGATTTCAAAATACCTTGATTCAGTTAGTCCATATCCTGAAAAAAATAGAAAATATTCTGTCCTAAATGATAATAAATTCCGCTTGAAAGGTGGTTCCGGTAAAATATTTTGATGCGTGAGTGATTTTATAAATAACCCGACGAGGTTCTTTGTAATAATTTAAGAAATGGTAAATCATGCTACAAATTTCACAGAAAAACGGTCAAAGTACTTATACTGATGATGGTGTAAATATTGTTACAATGAATTCAAATCAATCTTTGAAATTAGTACTGATGGAATCAAAGGTTTCAAGATGTTTGAAGCAGAGTTAAAGTATTTTCATTTCATTTCAGGTGAATAATTGTTTAGTGAATTAGAGAGGTGATTTTTTGAATAAACGAATCTGCCATTCATTAATTTCGCAAGTGGAAGGAGGAATGAAAAACATTCAAAATATTAAAGATTCTATTCTAGAAGTAGTGTAATTATGAAAAGTAAAGGCACGAAATAGACCATTTTTAGAAGGCTAGTATGTATGGTGAAAATGTCTCCCCATAAAACGCGTGAGATAATGGTTTTGGAGTAATATTTCATACATTTTGACAGCAAAAGCAGTATAGCCAAGAAAAGAAGCAATCCGGGCCGTACAAAGAATTGTATATCCATGCGCGTAACGAGAACGATAATTCAGTCGGGGGGGGGGGGGGGGGGGCGGTGTGGGTGTGAATATTTATATATTCATGTATGTGAACACGACTGCCAAGCATGTTCGACTTGGCGCTATTTTAGGTATCCAGTATGGAATCGCCTCTAAGTGTATTCCTAGCATATGAATGATATTACTGATATTAGGTTCATTAAAGCTCACGTTTTTGCTCGTTGCGGGCGGGTATCTGCAAATGTTCATATCCGATCTGGTTCGTAAAGCCTTTCACTTTATGCACATTGCATTTTGGAAGCTGAAAAAGACGTGTAAATCTGTTCCTCGACAAGATGAAATTCACCAATTTCGTAGAGTGATTTTTTGATCGCTATTATTTTCTTTTAGCTGGGGCTATAATACAGTATGAGTAAAAAAAACTGACACCTTTGAAATTCAAATCAGTCGCATAGCGGCTGTAATGTGACAGAAGTTGCTTAAAATATTTCATAGGTTTACGAAGCATATCATATTAATTAACCTAAAACATGAAACATAAAGTTTGTTCCCATTGGGAGTTAAAATGCATTCTAAGCTCTGTAAATACATACATAGTATGGTCGGTGTTGGAATATGCTGTTCCAGCTCTTGTGGCAAAATGTGTATAAATACGTTATTTACCGGCTGCGAGGTCCTGCATGCATGATCGAAAAATACTTCCCGAGCCGAGGCCGCAGGCCGAGGGACGTTTTTAGGACCGACGGGAAATATTTTTCGATCCTGACCGACCAAAACGGTAAATAACGTATTTATTTTTTTACAAAAAGCGGCGTTCGGTTCAAATATAGTTGTGTAGTCAGACTGAGCAAAGGCGACAAAAACATAAACAATCAAAACCTCGTTCGTTTAATTTACTAAAATTCACTACAATTTATCGTTTAGAATAAAAAGTCAAAATTTTGCGGATAAATCTTAAAAAAACAAACAAATATACGCTTTCGCTCGAGCATAAATATAGGATTCGCGACCGTGGTAAGATATCATAAAATTCCGCTTGCTGCATGCATGCTAAATACTATATAAACAACTAAATATACACAGGGCCGTAGCTAGAAGTTTAATTGGGGTGGGGGTGCATATTCATATAATTCGTTTTTGCCCGAATGACTTCTTTTGTATGCCATTGTTCCTATGGCATATAAACATGAATATATGAATATATACACCCCCCCAATCAATCGGTCTAGCTACGGCCCTGAATATACAGTATATGCAATGTTTAATGAAGAAAATATCTGGAACAAAATTTTTTGGCCACTGTTTACTGTAGCTCAGCCTCAGTTTGAAGTACTTTGTACTGCAAAGGTCGCAAGGTCGACGCTACTGTGATGCTTTTAAAAATCAAGTTTTTAATATAGTTACTATATAGCAGCCATTATTCTAAAGAGTGTTTCAGCCAAATATGTTCGAGGTACAATGAATAAAATGAACAGAGATTATCGCTATTTTCAACGCAGTATATCATCACAGATTCTAAGGTCTTCTAGTACGCTGGTGATTTAAGTGGAACTTCCCATACGGCTCATGGAGTGGAATCCTTTTCGGCTTTAGGTCAATATATTTTTCTTGTGGTAGATTGAAATGATAGGGACAATTTTAACTGTTTATCAACGAGTTTATTTTAGGTGTCCGAAATCCTTAGCACCCTGGAGGCCTGTACCACGCAGGGTGGCTTTCTAATAAGTGTAAGCATGTGACACTGAGGATGCTTTCCTTTACGCGGACAAAACTCAGACCGGTGAAATTTTGAATTGAAATGGAATTTTTCGTTAAGAATATAGCGGTTATCGAAACTACATTTCCTGTGCTAGGCGGATGTAAATAACGATACACTTGAATGCAGAGTTAGATTGTCTGCACCGAAATCAGTTTTTAACGTATAAAGGAAAGCGCCCTAAGAACCAAAGAAGGTATAAGAAATTACATGTCATTCCTTACTATTAAAATGGGATACTTTTTTCTTTTGCAGACAACGTTATGTTCGCGTTTATACAAGATGAAACACTTCCACCTCAGAAGGTGTGAAATGGTAGGTCCCTGCCAGGATGCTGTGTTTGGATTCATAATTATAAGCATGCCCAAAATATGTGTAGGAGCCAGTATTGTAATGAGCGTTGTTGGCGATGTGAACATCATGACCATTTCCAACCGTTGGTCCATAAGTGGAAGTGGCATGCATGGCGGCGCCATCATTTTCGTTCTTCAATGGAGCTTTAAATGGAGCTAGGTTTTCCTTGTTGCGTAACGAGAAAATAAAAGAACCAGGAGCTTGTTTGTAGCTGCTTCCTGTAATAATTGGTCAAAATTAATAAAAAAAAAATACGGGCATGCGTGTTTGATTTTAACAATAGTTAGAGGGCTTTTTTCGTACGCAAATTCCAACGATATAATAATATTAAATAAATAAGTGGCATCCACCTCATGCAATAGGTCAAAACAGTATTAACTATTACGGGCATACATCTTTGATTTTGAGAACAATTTGCGTTCTTTTTCATATGAATCTACTAACAACCATTTAACGGCCCTAAATATTTTCTCTGACAGCTGGGTGTTGGACAACCTTGTTTCCAGAGTATTCGCTCCACGCATTCTTTCGCGAACTAACCCAATAAGGCCTGATGACGTCACTGCGAGCATCATAGGGGGTGACTGATATTCAGGTGCAGCCTGTTCGCAAGTTGTTCAACCTATTGGACGCAAGTAAATAAGCCACGAAGGCCACGTTTTGCAATTTTTTCATCATGATTTTGGATGATTAACTTCTGAGCGGAAAATTTTCGCAAACAACGGGTTTGTAACGGCGGGCATAAAATTAATAGTCTGCCGGATGAATAGGTCAAGATGCTGTACCATCCCATTCAAAGAATAATCGCAATTTTTAAATACAAAGAATCTATTGCTGTATTCCTAATCATATTTTCCCACGTACTTATTTCTGTTTTGTTAAAAAATCTACTATCCAACTTATGGAGTTCAGATTATTTCTCTTTTTAACATTAACTGTTGATTCAAGAGCGTTTCTCTCAAGAAGGTTTCTGTTGTGTATCTGAGAGTTTCAACAATCTTGTAAAGTGGTGTTTGTAGGTCTTATGATCTTCTTCACGTTTACCACTTCACAATATTTAGGCAGAACGACTGCATATTATATAGCTTTTCATTATTTCACCAAAACGTTTACAATCTTCAATCATTCGGTTGTTATTGTAATAGTCTAATGATTATTATTGTCCTTACAGCTGTGGCAATTATATTCAATCTTCCGACCGTAATTAACAGTATTCGACTTTACCTAAAAAATGGGTAATACGTCTTCAGCCCATATAAGGGTTCTTCGCTTAGGCGTGGGTAGAGCGAACACGCTGGGTATGTGGTTGCGTATTTTGATTGCTTTTAACGATGGTTTTTTAATTGCTGAAAGAAACTAAAAGGATTTTTTTTAGTAGTGAGGACGAGAACAAGATGAATTTAATTTCCGTTTCAAACATGGATAATTTTATGCTTTTAAATTTGAAATTCGCTTCGTCTTGGTGTGAACCGGGTGGGAAATGCCGAAAATTTTCTTGAAAACCTCATCCAAAGCTGTGGAATTGCCGCTAACATTGTGGCCTCGCGACGATTTGGTGTCAGAGTGACGACGTTTGCAATATTTATGCCGATTTTCTGATTTCCGATTTTTTTTCCGCTTTTAGCTTTGCCTGCTTGGAAATGTGATAATATCTAGCTAGAAAAGTTCGAAAGCTAAATTATAGACGTCAGAAAGCAAAATTATCAGGCGAAACCTACCTTAAATACTTGCTGATTCACACATTTGAAAAAAGTCGGAATATGAGGCGAAGGCCCCGCCTGATGGCAACCGCAGCAGGGGCATTTCCACGTTTTTTATTCGTCTCTAGCCTCCATTGCGTCGCATTATGTGGCTCATTCACTATTTGGGAAATCGTCATACCGCTTGATTTCCACACACATCCACCGGAAAGTGCGAAGCATAAATTATTATAGCTGACTGGACTCAGAATCGTATTGACCCCCCTTGTACATATAATTGTTAGTACCATAACTTAAAAATGATGCACGCACGCTTTAGCATTCAAAAGTCGTGTAATAATAGCCATATCGCTAGCATTTGTATGAAATGCCTGGGTTATGATGCCGGCTCAGACTTTGATTTGCCAATAGTATATAGCTAGTCAAAATTAATAGCAGTCTTACCATCCCAAGACTCTGTAACGTAGAAACCAAAGATATATACACCAACTTTAATGAATGTTACAGTTGGTTTCTTGTGATCACATCTTGCGTGGAAAGTAGCTGCTGCCCATCCATCTCTACTTGCGCGCCAACAAAGCAATGTATTATAGCTTCTTCCGATCCATGTTTGTAGCAAATTTTGATATAAGTGAAGTATTCCAGACAGTATCGTGGATTCAGAGAAGAGGTCTGTAGCTATAGAAACTTATTATTCAGTTGACTTGATTTAAAATTTTCAAGTTTTATCAGGAGCGGTGAACACAGTTTATTCGTGAAGTCAGAAAGGGGGGGGGGCTAAATGGATTAAAAAATTATAGCCAGAAATACGAATGTAGTCCATAAACAGGTATTCCGAAACAGTGGTGTCTAACGCATGTGGTTGTGAAGCGCGATGGTTTCAAAATTGAGAGCATGGTTCAATATTTAGAATGATTTTTGCAAAATGAATGGGCATATTTGCCCCTTGCTCTTGTTCAAAAATGGGCCGGAAAGCTGCACCTGATAACCTCCCCCCTTTTCTCCTGTTTCGGTACCCTGTCCATAAACTTAATTTATTCCATGTTTTAAGCACTTAGTGTGAAGTGAAGTTTTTATTTATTGTTTTATCAGTAATTTGTTACTTGTTGGTATAAATATCTTCCTATATTTTCTATGCCAAAGGTGAGCGGGGGTGATGGATGTCAACACATTTTCGTCTTAGACGGGGCTCCCCTGGTTCCGACGCCCTCGTTTAAATAAAATATGGAAAAAAAGAATAGAAAATATAAATGAATAGAAATGAAAAGAAAGACAGAACTTTTTCTCCGGATACATCAGGCCAAGAATGCAGATAAATCCATTCCACTACCATCACGCATTTATACTTTTCGCGTTGATAAATTAGGCTCGTAGTTATTGCACTAGTTCTGATCAAGAATCAAAATCACGCTAAAACACTTCACTCACCATATTCACAAAGATTTCCTTTGTATTTTCCTTCACATCTACACTTGTAAGGATCTGATCCAGGTCCATCGTTAAGATCAATGACTGTTTTTCCTCCATTTTTACAATTTTTCATTTTACTACAAGGCACCTATGAAAAATTGGGGTTTTAATGGTCTAACTATCAAATTTTTCATTAGCTGCGATATCGAAAATGTAAACTTCCAATCTAATGCATTATAATTCACAGCTGTGTACTATAAATATTATAGCTATGGGTACTTTAGAGGTTCAAGACAGTGGTGTAATAGGTATATTCATCAGAATATTGTTTGCAGCACCTGCTGTAATATAAATTCGATTAATCGGCTTAAAAGCAGCACTTTGAAAATCAAAACGTGGGAATGCATGCTGTTTGTGAATAATTTAACAAATAATTATAATAAATCACTTCGATAATTTAATGCATTGCGCCTGCATGGGGTCATAAAAAGAAAGAAGCAATTTATTTACCTTCCTTTGCCCAAGCAAATGATAAAACACCCAGCCTTCGTCGTCTATGTTACAATTGCTCATGTTGTAGTTCAGAGCGTGTGCTAACTGACAGTTCGAGTTCGTTTTCTTTAGCATATTCTTAAAGTTATACCCAACACAAAAAGGTTCCTGCAAACATTTCTGAGCGCAGCTGCTTGATAAACTGTATGTGGCTTCAGATATGCGACTAGTTTTCGGGACAGAGCAGGCATCTAAATTTAAAGAAGAAATATCCGTTGATTAGTTTGAATTGTTTTGAACTAAGAAGTATCATCGACAGGTAAATCTTGGCAAATTTTAAACGAATGCGTGCGAAACATAAACCTATATAGTTAATTTCCAAAATTTGCATTTTACAAAAGGACATAATTTTATTTACGTATATATTTTATATCTTTAACATAAGGATCTGAAACAGGCGGACTAATAAGATGAATGCGTCGTAGAAATCATGAATTCTATATGAAGTCCATTTCAGTACTCATCATGCTTGAATTATAACTTTAGCGCATACATTTATCAACTAGTTATAGCCAATATTTCTACACGCCTCATATTTTTAATCATATAATTATTATATCATGGACTAGCAAACCATTGCAAAGTTCGCGGGTTCGATTCCCACTGTGATCAAGCCAATTTTCAGCTTACCCGATTGATGACTCAGAGAAGCAACATCACAATATTCATTTCATATATTATTATATCATTTTACCTTTCTGCAATAATCGAAAAGATACTGCCATATTCGTAGCGTCTTCTGGCCTACAGTACTCATCTTCTAATTTTGCAAAAGTTGGCAGGAATAACAGAACAAGAAATCGTCCGGGAAAGTTTCTTGTCCTAATGAAACGCAACATTTTGTCTTACAACCGCATTAGCAACATATCTCGGAGTACAATTATATCAACAATTTAATGTCCTTCTATTCAATTTTTTTAGCTTTCACAATCGACTGGATTGCATATAACGTCGTTACCCCTTGAATTGTAGTTTACGTCTGGAGTATAACGGAAACTCAATAGTATAGTCCGTTTGTAATATTGGCGACATTTAACTTCCCAAGCACAGTTGCTATAGCAAATTAAAAACACTCTTTTCAATTAAGATTTTTTTTAGTAATTAAAATTTCTCTGGCGGCAAATAAATTATACCGTTTCCTATATATATTTTAGTCAATTGCCGTTTGTATCTACTTCTTTTCTAAAACGCTTAAATTTCGGTTAATCATTCTGATCTTCATTCACTTTGTTAAACATGCACAAACCGAAAGTTACGAACTGTAAAAGTCATAAAATTTCTAGCCAGTGTACTAATTTTCATCAGCTCACTTTTAATTTCTCATACAAATTTCATTGGTAATATTGTATGTTTACAGACGGAAACACAATAAATTGGAATATCATGCTCTAATACTTTATGGCGTTTTTTGACAAGACCGCGCAGATTTTTCAAGCTTTTCCGCATTTTACGGCATCATAACGTCTAGCACGGCGAAAGACCATAAAATCAAGCCATAGACAGTAGAAACACAACAACGAATTTGATCTTGTTTGCGTTTTATTAGTTAACATTCACCGAAAGTGTTAACGAACGTAATTTCAGTTACGTAAATTTCTAATGCATGAAGTCAAATCCTGATTGGCAGCATTTGTGATATATGTAAACGTTCATATGCACCTATCGTTTATACTGTAAAATGTGCAAACTCCGAAGAATTTATTGTGCTTTCAATTCGCTAATATCAATTTCGGATCGAACGTAGCTATTTCGCTACCTGTACACGCCTAATTTATAGAACATTACATTTCCTAACTTATCGTATCGTACATGCAGTGGCGTAGCCAGCCTGACGATTTTGTCCCACTATGTAAATTTCGATTTATTATAATTATGTCTTTAGAAATCTATTGTTTTCACAGTCAGTGAACACCAAAATATTAGCATAGCGGGACAGATTGACAGGCTGGCTACGCTACTGTATGCTCACATGTCAAGTTGTTCATAATCGTGCAGTGTTTAAAAATATGAAACGTGTCTAGGCAAAGGCACAAGAGTCACAGGGAATAACATTAGTTATTTTTGCGGCCCCGACAACGTAGTAAAGAGCAATATTGCCAATAACACTTTCTAGCGATCCCTTTCTATTGAGTTATATAAAACTCGTTTTATACCTTAACCGGCCACCTGTGAAATATCGATTTGTTATCGTTACGTATACATGTACCGCGTACTAATATCATTTGATTCACGATCAGACTTAGAATTCCAAAATATTCAGTACTTTCGGGAATAGAAATATTTTCGTAATATATTCAAGGAAATACTATGATTTAAAACTGGGTTGCATTCGCACAGAGCTACATGCACGACGATCTTAGAAAGTTAGTGAGTAAGCTATATACCGTTTTCCCGAGTTGTGAAATATAAAATTTATGACATGCCACAGGTCAGAGTTATAACATCTCCTGCAAGCAAATTCCACGTTCGCGTTCCATACGTAAGCAAGCAAGCGTTCAGTTCTCCAAGCTGGCAACTTTCGTGCGAATAAATTAAGCCGAACGTTATTAGACGTTTGTTCAATAAGAGCTTGCTATTCTACGGATTTAGCGCTGTTAGTCAATGGAAACTGTATTTTAACGATTGTTTCGTTCAGTAATGACATTGCGTTCGTTTAACGCCTTCTGTGAATATTAGCTATTAGCATGCATGCAGGGACTAAAGACGACACAATAAACACGCAGGATTACCGTATAATGAAAACCATATTACTCATAATTTTGATGCCACGAGTATGCAAATTTACTATCAATAATCACCTAACTAAACAGAAAACTTGACTAAGACCAATTAGACCATGTAATACACGCTTTTAGCATAAGAAGTTGAGGGCAGTGCATTGCATCTATGGCGGGACAGGAATATGTATATACTTGAAAATGGCGATTGGCAATTTGCGCCTCATGGCGCATATTTTGTAAACGCTGGTCTGTATAACAAAATTCGGTTATTAGATAATATATTAATTAAAGTCTGTATGAACAACTTTGTTGATCAACGATGACTACAAAATTTGGGCATGCACAGTCACAGTTACTTTACTTGTATGTGTACCCAATGTATGTTAGTGCTCCAAGTTTCACTGGCGATATAGTTTGCGCTTTTAAAGAAAAAAATGCGGAAACGGTGCGTTGTGTATGGCTTAGCAACTGGGCGAGTTGCTACAAAATATCTTACGCGTTATTAGAAGATCGAAGTAAATTTAGAATTGATTATATTATGTTTGACAAGAACTCGTTTCCTGAGTCCCAGGCCTCCGAACACGACGGAAATTTAGGCAAATCGTCATGTTTATACATGTAAATATTTCCGAAACTACTTAATTATATCAAAAAGGGTTGTAGAACTTATAAACTAATTTTAACACTATTCAAATCCGTAAAGATCCCACAAGTGATATAGGTACTTTAACAACAACGGAATAGTTATTAATTTCTTGAAAGAATATATTTACATAAAAGCCTACTCATATAATCAAATTATGAACTAGATTCCACAATGCTGACCTAGGAGCTCATGCAGCCTCATTTTGAACAGCATGGACTAGGAAACTATAAAGGTCGCTAATTCATCACTACTGTGGTCATGAATTCCACGAGACTTTTTTCTTATACTTTTAAAATTAACAAAAAAAAGTTTTCAATGCATTGCTGGTAAATCCAGATGTCCTCAATCCTTAGCGCCATAGTGACTTTTTAAGAAGCTTTAAGAAGCCTCTAGAGATGATTTCTGGTGATGAGTGTAACTGCAAGCATGTGACACTAAGATCATCTCAAAAAAATTGTGTAGAATACTTAAATTATTTTCCAGATAACGTTATATGTTTGGGTTTATACAAGATGAAACAACTCCTTCGATAAATTGGGGCTTTGTAAAACACGACTTTAGGCTGAAGAAATAAAGTGATAAAGGAAAAGACAGTTACAGTATACTGTTACCTTTTGGTCATGTGGTATTAACTAGTGCACTACTGACTTACTTCAGTGCCATGAACCTGGTGGTACAAATAACGTAATTTATTTGTTAATCACGGTGTTATACTACTAATTATCATGGTCCAGAAGAGGATTAACGAATAATTTGTCAAAACTATAAGCTAAATTAATTAATAGTACCTAGCCATGTAAAGGATATACTAAATATGATATGAGGAACTTAATTAAAAAGAAATCCATTTCAAACATTCATAGTTGAATTTTATAACATAGGAAGCTTTAATGAAAACTATAAAAGAGTGTTCTTATAAAGTAACAAATAAAACAAGTAACACTCTTTTCTTTTTTGATCATGGCGGCACTTTCTTTGCAATAGTAACTTCTAGTTCTTGAATACTCAGAATGGCGCAACTCTGAGTAATCTCTGAAAAATTTATCTTGACCGGAAAATCGTTTTGTGGGTGAGGAAGGGAGGGGGCATATATTCATTTAAATTCACGTCATGTAGCAGACTGTAACAATGCTAAACGTAAACATATGAAAATCTCTCCCCTCTTTAATTAACTATCTTCAGCGGCCCCTGTTGGGACCTTTTCAACGTTTTCAGCCATGTTCTCAAGCAATTATTTTTTGAATTCACTCTTATATTTTGAGTAATTTGTTCCAAATCTTTACAGTTGACGGCTCTGGAACGAAATAAAAGGCGCTTAGCACGAAATTTTTCTGTAGTAAAAGTCGTCTTTATAAAGTGGTTTTCCGCTTGCCGAGAAATGATTCGTCAACGAAAGTATTTGCATATTTTCTTTTGAGATGAAAACTGAGTAACGCTTAACTAATTTATATATTGAAGGATGTGAATATTCCACTAGCGAACTCTTTCTTTGCATGCAAACGGAAATAAACCTATCCTAATTACCCTCAGTTATAAACATGTTTCGATCCTCAAGCGTGCATCATTTTTAGGTTATGATAATTACATTTATATTGCGTTGATTACAAACGGTTTATGTAACATTAGCATACAGTATGTCGACAGCGCGAGCCTGGTTAAGGTAAGTTTAACAAAGATAATATCACTTTGTCAAAATTAACCAGTTAGAACAAGAACTTGATGAGAAATAGGAACAAGCACAAGGTGCTGAAATTCGTGCTAAGGCTTTGAAGTGAACTGGAAATAACCTAATGTTCACATGTTCGAACCATCTGAGTCTTCGTGACTTATAGTGGCAGATACAGGGTGTAAGTCAGGATAAATTACATGTATGGTTAAATTTCCAATAAGCGTAGACAATATTTTCGTCTCTCAATGGAGCTTGTATAAGAAATCCAATGAATAAATTTAACAGAGCTTTCTATGTAAACGTCTTTATCGCTACTTACAACGCAGTAAACTATAGGCAGCCCGGCCAATTCAGGTACCGCATACTATCTTATGAATATAATTATCCAAAAGCTGGCAATTCTCTCACAAAAAAAATAAAAAAAATAATGCATATACATTAATACCAACGCTTGAAACACAAAAAATACTCTAGTTTCTTGAAAAACACTTTGAACATATTTACTAAATTACTATCTGTCATTTATTGACTTGAAAACAACTTATAAATGCTTGTATTTTGCGAATAAAAAGTTTTTTTATCCAATTTTTTTTAAACAGAGGCCGGATGCAAATTACTCGACAAACGTCATCATCGGAAAATCGTCGGCAAATTTCTGACTGGCTATTGAAAGTTCGGAAAATCACGAGACATTTTTTCTTCATTTAAATGGTAGCTATCTTTAAAATGGGGAACGGGGAATCGGGGAATCCAGGAAAAAGGGAATCGGGGAAACAGAGAGTCGGGGAATCGGGCAAACAGGGAATCGAGGAATTGGAGAACGGGGAATCCGGGAATAATATGAATAGCATAATGGTATTGTTGTGTGGCATTTAAAATCATGTGGAGACAATAAGCTGGTGTGTTTATTTAGTTATCATGCAAATTATTTTTCTATTGAATATTTGCAACAGATAATATGTCATATGGGAATAACATTGCTCAAGAAACTGTTCT